GTGACTTTAAAGAAATTTCGAACCTCAACTAAGATTCAGATATCTCATAGAACAATTTGATTCAAGCAAATATGGTCCTAGACATTACAAGACATCGTGACCCTTGATATTGTATAAACAAAGCCAAAATGTATTACTTGTGCATCCGCGTGTCAGCATGTGGGTGGGTGTATGTTATCTTGCTTTTTTGTGAGTGTCAACTTTATTAGGTCTTTTGTATCCATTTTTTTCCTTTTTGGTTTTTAATGTGATAAATGAACACCTCAGGCATGCATTTGAATTTTAGTACGTGTGATGTGTATACACAGCATATAACTTTGATTTTACTTTCAATAAATATGCAATTACACATGACTGCACAGCAGACAGTGGCACACCTACATGCATGTGATTTGATCCCCAAATCACAAACACGCACACACGCAGAAGCAAACAAAGAGATGGGCAATTCTAGAGTTTGGAAGACCAACTTAAAATGAAAGGAAGCTAATTTGTTTGAGATTACCAAGCATTCTTGGATCTCAATAATAACTTTTGTATCTCTCCCCTCGCATCCCCAGTCCGGAATTCACATACTAAGAAGGAAAAGAGTTGAACAAATAAGCACAACCATAACACAAAAGTGTGCTAATAAAAACTGAAATGCCCTCAAATGAATACTAAAATGCAAGTCTACCTCAACAAATGAGAATCGAGCAAGAACATCCATGAAAGAAAGTCACAAAGGCACCAGAAAAAGAAGAAGAGAAGAAGAAGAAAATCCTAGGAGGAAATCCAAAAAAAAAAATGAGAAGCAAACAAATAAAGACACAAAAAAGGCAGAAATTTTTAAGAAAGTCAATAAAGAATGACAACACTTGTGGAAGCCATTCAAAAAAAATATTCGAACAAATAAACACAACAATAGTTGTTCAAAATAAATAAATGAACACAACACATCCATAACACGAAAGCATGCTAATAAAAAGAAAACTGAAATGCCAAAGAATTGCCCAATTGAATTTTTAATTCACCAATCAAACTTCCTCAAAAGAATAATAAAACACAAGTGCACATCAACAAATCAAACAAAAACATTTATTGGGCAAGCTCCACACTTACATTTTATGAGATAATCCTAGAAGGCGGCCGCAAGAAGAAAAACAAGTAGATAAAGACAAAAAAAGGAAATTTCTAAGAAAGTGAAGAAATAATGCAACTTTTGTTTAAATCATTCAAATACAGAAAATTTCAGAAGTATCCATATCATCCCTAAGACTGTACTACAAGCTATACTCCAATCCCCACCTCCCACCACTTTTTTTTTCTCTACTTTTCACAAAAGCTAATTCAATGGTGCAACAGAGCCACTCATGAGTTCCTTAACTGGATAATAGAGATTTCGATCACAAAACTCCGTACATTGATTTTTAGTTTCGAAGTATGGACACTCCAAAATAAACACTTAAGAACTAATTGGTTTAAGTTTGCAGCTAAATTTTACTCTTGCCAAGTAACCTACACCTAAAATCATTTGAAAGACAATTTGTTCTTTAAAATTAACACCCTATGGGTTGCCCATGATTTCTATTTGAGGGGAAGATGGATATGGCAGGATGGAGCCCCAAAACACAACATATTCCAATAGCATAAAATATGAACATCAAGAACAAAAAATAAAATAAAATGTCTCAAAAATCCATCAAAACTTCATTTATTGAACTAGAAAGAAAAAACAGCCGTACTAATGCTGAAATGCTATTGGATGATGCTACAAAGTATTTTTAATGTAATAACTGGAGGCTAAAAATGAGTAAATTGGAAATGGCACACAATCCCATTTCCATGAAAGATACATCCCAAAATTTAAAAGAAACTAATTCTAAATTATTTGAAGAACCGAAGAACTGTTATTATCTAAATACCCATGTTCTCATATATTATGCACAAATGCAATGGAAGACTTACCAATCATAGTCCCCAGATATACTTTACACTATAAACAGTACTGGTCTGTTTACTTATCAATTACCATACTCTGAAATTGATGTGTTTATTTATCAGAGTCTGAACATTTCGCCTAACCTATACGAAGCAGCAGCATAAACATATCCACATAAAGGCAAGCACATGTATATCTCTATGGATATTTATATTCAACCTAAAATGGTAGTAAATTCCTATTTTGTGTGGGACAGTAAACGAGAAATTAAAATTTAACAAGATCAAATTAAACCAACCAGAAGGGATCGCCAGGTCCTGTACCGCACTGATGAAACGCCATAACAGCTCGAACCTTCAATCCACAACGCCTGGCCAGCGATACAATTTCCGCATAGCCTTGCCAATTGTAAACCCCAGGGGCGTCCCTCTCCACGAGCCCCCACCAGACCTCCATCACCACGCCCTCAACCCCGGCGGCCACGAGAGCACGGAACGACTGAGTCATGGCCTTCCGCCGCCGCATCTGGCCGGAGGCGTTCACGGCGTCGACCGGAAGCGTCACGAACACCGGCGAGCCATTCCGGCGGTGATGCGAGAGCGAGACACCGTGCTGGAGCTCGTACTGGAGATCACCATTATCGGGGGAGACGAAGCCATTGGAGGGAATCGAAGAGTTGAGACGAGCTGTGATCGTGAGGAGTCGATGAGGAGGAGGGCGAATCCGGTGAGATGGGACAGTGGAGAAACGGATAGAGCGAGTTGACTCGGTCCAGCTAGAGCAGAAGAAAGCTGAGAAGGTCGGAGCGGAAGGCGATGCGATTGCCATTATGGTTGAGATTTTAGGGTTAGGGATTCAAAATGCTTTGTGTTACAGAAGAGAGCAAGAGAGAGATGGAGGGAGGGCCGTGGGTGATTGGGGAGTTAGTTAGGAAATGTGTTGGAGAGAGAGAGAGAGTGTGTGTAGTACAGTCAACTATGGATTCAGTTGCCTGAGGAACGAACTACATTGGAAATGGGAAAGGAGTTGATTGCGGTTGCGTTGCGGACACAAATAAATACTTGGGTTGGGCGGTTCAGAGTTTAGCGTGCACGTAGAAAATCAGCAACCAACCGAATTGATTTGTATAAATTTGAGGAAAAATGTTAAAAGGCAAATTATGAAAAAAAAAAATGTATTTTGTCATAATGAAAAGTATTATTGTCATAATTTTTTATTTTAAAAAATAAAATTATTAACTGCTCTCCTATAAAATAATAAAATTATTTGAATTAATAATTGAAATAAATTTTTGATAAAATTAAAAAATTATTGATTGATTTAATGATTTATTAATAAAATAGATCATTTATTATGAAATTAAAATGTTTAAGGGGCGGTGTTGGCTTTTTGACTTTCGAAGATTAATATTGTAATTTTAAACGTGTCAGTAAGGATCAATCAGTCCTTAAAGAAGATTAAGTGCCAACCATTTATCAGATGATTATGTTTTAGTTCTCTCAGCCTCAATGAAAATGACTTTTACTAGTGACTTGTTTAGGAGAATTTGGTAAATAACAACAAGTAAAGAATAATTTCAGAATTTCATTAAGTAAAAATGAAAAACTTACAATGAGCTGATCCAGTCTCGTAAAGGTTTATAACAACAAGCTATTTGAAACTACTCCTATGAATGAAATATAGTACAGTACAGAAATCGAAGTACAAAAATGTAATGAACTATAAAATCTAGAAAGGAAAACAAAGTAAATAAACTGATTTTTTGATCTGAGTCTAGATCCTTCATTCTGGGGCCTTCTCTGCTATTTATACTTCTCAATGATAACCACCAAAGTGGGCTTCTAATCATCGAAATGTCCTTCCATGATTGCTAAACATGCTCTCTCACAGTCAGTCCCACTAAGCCACATTTGCAGTTAGGCTTCCCTCCTGATTTTGAATTTGAACTTTGTGAGTAACCGTTAGACTATATCACCTTATCTCTCTCGATTGTTCCAGTGCTATGCAGATCCATTATTATCAATACAGGCTGACACGTGTCTAACTTTGGTTGGCATCCTATATTAACTCCCTGAATTACCTTCTTCATGCTACGCGTTGAATTGTGATTGGCTTTTACAAATTATACAGCCAACATTACCCCCGCATTAATATACCTAATACTTGTTGATATTAGTGGATCAAGGCACTTTACCCACGTCCTAGGACGTGCATGGGCTTTGTATCTTCTTAGAAATGCAACCAACGTCCATCATTGCAATGTTTGTACTTCATTAAATTATCTTCTACGCCTTGAACGTTTCTCACTATCTGAGCATTCGAAAAGGCTGATACAATCTTTATGGCCAAGCAAACCTTTTCTTACATTGATCGAGCAGACGACGAGTCTATGGAAGATATTTATAGGCCTCGAAAGAATCTCAATGCATTTATTGATTACACCTATCCGCCTCCATTTATGAAAGTTATGGAAACTTTTGTAACGTACCAGCCTTTAGACCCAAAGTTTGCCAATTACGAACCCTTGGATTATGCATTTGCAAAAATGGATCTTGAAAACTCTTCTTCTGCCTCACCATCTTCTGCATGGGACACAGTTATTTCTTCCTCTACCCCACCAACCTCTACATGGGACATAGTTGCTCCTTCTTCCTCCAAGTCTACTGGTTGAGGAAGTTGGCCAGAACTTGATAAATCCAAACTAAGAGAGAGAATTCACCATCGATTCGTCGAATTCGCCATTGATTCGTCGAATTCGCTGATCCTCTGTCTATCCCACATTTTGCTCGGAGCTCGGTGGTGTACCCCTATGCATCCATCGATCGCTGATGCAATCTGGAGGACAACTTACTTGTAGTGTGGTACACATCTTCCATGCCTACGATGATAGTGCGAGCAACTCCTCGTCCAGAGGAAGCACAAGGATACAATCTGTCATTCTTAGTCAAGAAGGCAAAATTTTGCTCTTCTAACTGGCTTGAATGTGTGAATAATTGTGACAACCCTCACCTCTAATTAGTGTTAATCTCTTATTAAGCATGATAAGTAATTGATCAAACTGAAATTCTGAATTGATTGCATGAATGTACTACTTTAATAGCATTTCTATCTGTCTGTCTGTTCGTGTTTTAATTGCAAACTGCGAATTGAAAGTTTTATCGACGACCGATTCAGAAATTGATTGATATTTTATACTAATTAGAATTTATGTGATTTTATGGTAGGTTTAATTGAAATTTGATTTGGAACGTTTAAATTAGATTAAATAATGTTAAATCGCATTGGTTCAAGTAATTACCTTATTGCCATTAAGTGGACAATGCTAGGCCCTTTATTTAGTCTTGATTTATATATGCTTGGCATCACTCTTCATCACTTTTCCTAGACCAAAACTGTGAGAGATAGGGAGAGAGACTTGGTAGGAGATTGAATTCATCAAGAATTGTTTGAACTTAGAAGAATTGAAGGAAATTTGCATATTTGAGCTTCCACATCTAGAATTCAAGACATAAGGTAGGAATTCACCTTCTTCATTATGAAACTAAGTTGTTTCTTGCATGGTTCATGGAGATTTGGAGTTTAAAGTCAAGAATTAATTTGAAAGACTTGAATTGTGAGCTAACTCATGCATGCATGTACATATTCTTGCATTTTGAGGTTGTTTTTATGAAAACTCTTACATGCATGTTCATATTTTGGTAGAGGTCCATAAATTCACCATGATTTTGAGCTCAACATTGCATTTGATCTTGTTTTGGAACACTAGAGCTCTTGGAAACTCATGCATTTATGATTTTGCATTATTCTTCGTATTTACACTTAATTTTATGTTCAATTGGCTTACTTTTGGGCTTGATTTCATAAATTGATCTTTGAAATATGTTGTACTATGAGTCTTCAAGTGTTTTCCAGAAAATTAGCCCAAAAGAATCGAGTTTGAAGCTTTAGAAGTTGAATTTTGTGCTTGTGGATCAATTTGGAAATTCCAGATTTTGGATCCACACTCGAGCGGAGGACTTCACGCTCGAGCGTACACTCTGAGCACATGCACTTCCGCTCGAGCGTAGGAAGTCACACTCGAGCGTGAAATGCATATGCCTAGAAGTTCATATGTTTTGCAGTCCGCTTGAGCGAGAAAATTCACGCTCGAGCGAGGGTCTGAGTCTCACGCTCGAGCGGAGGTCGAGCGTCCGTCGAACGTGAAAATCATGCATCCAGTACTTTTTCATGAGTTTACAGTCCACTCGAGTGAGGGAAGTCACGCTCGAGCGGAGCTTCTTTCTCTGCATGTCCGCTCGAGCGTAGAAAGCCACGCTCGAGCGAGACCCCTGTTTCAGCAAAATTTTGAAAAGTGTTTTAAGGTACATTTTTGCATCCTCATTCCATCTTACGCATTCCTAGGCCATGTTTAAGGCATCTTAATGAGGATAATGTTATAGAACCACACCAGTATAGTTAGGAACTAAGTTATTAATCCCGAGTGTGTGTTCGTTCTGCAACTGTAGGGTTGGCATCCGAGGACGCTCATTAGCTGCCTGTAGCCCAGTACTCTGTGAGTAACAATGTTGTAAAGATATGTTCAATTATGATTATTTTCTGAGTGATCAACTGTACTGCTTACTGAAATGCTATTATTCAATGAATGAATATTTGTCCTATTTGTAAACTGTACTCGTGGTATTCATAGCAATCTATTGTTACTGTTTCTGCTACTGTTACAGAGATCTCTGTCGGTTCCAACGTCGGGACCACTACTGTTTACTGCTGTGATGGCCATCAACTGACTGTTCGGTCTGTTAAGACCTATTGTACTGTTTTGTTATTGGACGTACCACGTATAACTGTTATGAATTCTAAATGACTGTTTTAATTAGTGAAAGGACATTCATTCTTAACCCTTTTATGCATTTGTTATTCACTGGACTTTAGCTCACTGTTCATATATATATATATATATATATATATATATGTAGGTGTCCAGGCATCAGACCGATGCTAAGAGCGTCAGGTTAAGCTCTTGTTTTGTCAAGCCACCCACCGCGCCTCACTTCGAGGTTCCAAGTTCGTTCAACCTAAGGTTGTTCTGGGGTGTCTCAGTTTCACCCTCCTGTCTCTGTTTTGTAATAAATGTTTAAGACTTAACTGTGCAGTTATAGTTAGGGATTTAGCCCCTGACATGGATGTTTGTGTATATGTCGCATGTACATATGTTTTGGTTATCAATGTGGCATGTTTATAAAAAGTCTTTTTGCATTCAGACTATTACAGCTCATTGGACATCTTTTATTTACTGTTTTGGCTTCCGCCAGCCCCTTTACTCTGTATTACTGTCATTACTGTTAAGCAGGCCTTCAGTAATCACGGATTACTGGCCGGTTGCGATGCTAAACCCATAGGGGCGGGTTTGGGTTGTGACAATAACCCCCAGCTCCCTCCTTCTTTTGGGATGGACCCTCCTACACCTCCTCTTCCTCAAAATCCTCACTGGATGGAGGAACTGAAACTTACTCTTTTCGAGAATCAATTCCTTCCTTCCTACCAACCTCCAGATCTTCCCACTACATTTGAGCGATACCAAGCTCAACTTTTGCTTGCAACCTTTTCTCACTTGCGCTTCAATGTTCTTGAAGATGGTATTCCTCTTAAGAACTTTTGATGGGCCTATGACATTATGACTCGGGGTCATGCCCTCAACCCGATTGCTCAAGCAGAACTTCAGATGTTTCTAGATCAACTCCCACTTCTTCTTCATAGGTACCAAATTTCTTTGGCTACCACTAATTCTTTGGACAAAATCTCGGCCCATCAAATTCAAACTCAGTATGAAGCAGAGAATCTCATTGATGAATATAATAACTTCAAGAATAAGGATTCTGCATACTGGGATGATCTAGATATGGATGAGATGGAACAAGGATTGAAGGAAATGGAGTTCGAAATGAAAGCTGAACAACTTTTCTATCAAATAAGAACATATTAGCTACAACAACCCAGCTTGGATAGGACAGATGACAGAATAAATAAGGAACATAAATTCATTGACCACTGTTGGGACAAATTTCA